TTTTCACGGCTTTTGAAGATGCCTGTGCTCCCGTCGCAGCACAGCTGAAAAGGGCACTGGGCGCCAGTTGCAGGGTGCCAACCGGGCAAATAGTCTTAAAGGGGGAAAAACGTTGCTGTGAAAAGGTCAGGTCTCCACAGCTCTGCAAAAAAAAGTTTTCTTGGGAAGGCCATAGGTGGAATGGAGAAAGGGGGGATTTCTTTAAGGAGGAATTTTTTTCTTCCCTCTGCTCCATTTCTTCCCTTCTTCCCTTGCTTTCTCCAAGCAGAGTAAATTTGGCTGTCTTATGTGAGTGAGAGCACTAAAACATGGGGCAGCCCCAAGATAATGCCCACAGGGGCCCCACAGCTCCCATGACCACATGGCATATACGGCACAGGGGCCTCCTGCAATATGGGGCCCAAAACCACGCTTATCCTGCAAAGCATGCCAGCCTCAACACACACACGTGTGCACACACATGCATGCTCTTCCCGGCTCACGGGACACATGCTGAGCCCCCTCGCACGGTGAACCTCTTACAAGCTTTCTGGCTGTTTTGGGCATCCTGGCAGGGTGTGTTCTTCCCTGGTCCTGCGGGAAACCACCCCCTTGAGCTAGGCCTGCCACAAAACGCAGCCCCGGGCAGAGCTTTCTCTGACAGAGCTGCTCCTCCAGCAGTGCTGGCACTGCAGCTCGGTTCGACACTGCTCACTGAGCCCAAAAATCACTTGCTAAGTGATTCACAGAGCTGAGCAATGACTGTGCCTGAGATGGAGCAAAAGGCATGTGTGGGTGTGCATGTGTTTGTGAGGCCGAGGGAAGCCGAATGTGTCATTACAACATGCCAGGAGTTTTTAGAGCTACAGTTTCAAGAGATCTGTGACTATTCATGCCAAAGGCTGGATTCCCACTGTATCTCTGGAGAGGAGAAATGAAAGCGATTCCTTATCCAATCAATTAGAAACACCTCTTGGGAACTAATAATCCTGTTATAAAACATCTTGAAAATAGAAAGGCCTTTTCCCTCTCCCCCTCTTGCCCGGGTCACCCGAGGATGACGGAACCCAACAGGCTCTGTATGAAGAGCTCTTGGAGGCTGAGATCTGCAGACTTTCCAAGCATACTGGGGCATGGTTGAGCAGCTCACCCTGGGACTGAGCACCCAGGTGTTTTAGTGCTATAGAGCTGCCACAGGGACCAAGGAATGATCCTCCTCAAGCTCCTTTTCTCAAACCAGAAGCCCTGCTCAGGAGAGTAGAGAGGTCTTCCCACAGCAATCTCACTTCCACTCCTTGCAAGCTGTGATACTACCCTTCCCCCTCAGCACATGGCTTCCACTACATCACACTCTCTCCAGCTCCTGCACATGCGTGCTTGGATGGGGAAATTAGTGCTCATCACAGTAACACACCACAGAAACCACTGCTGTTCCCTCCCAACAGCAACATCTCCATCTGAGTCCTTCCAGCCAAGCACTGGTGTGTCCACAGAAAAGAAGACACTGTAGAATCCAAATTCCTCTTACTTCTGGATCAGATTCCTCCTCTGACTGAGCAAGACCATCCTCAGCAGAGGGATCCCATCT